CAGATTCTCTGCTGCCGGGAAGAGGTTGCCAGTATGAGAACACAGAGTAATTAGTAATTAGCATTTAATAACTTTTTACAAGTATCACAGAACTGAACGAAGCATAATACCCAGTCCAAGATGTCCCTGCAAATCAGTGAAATTGGATTCAATAAGTTAAGCCTGCTTACCAGCCATACCTATAATACTGGGTACCTGCATGGGCTAGCCTAGTTTGTTGGGAGCTCTTACTAATGCACAGCACATCCTTCCCTGGCTCTAGAAAGCAGATTGGCTCAAACCACGATCTCGGTGATGCTGGCATAAATCCAGAGCAACTTCAGTGCATCTAGTGGAGTTCTTCCAGGTTTCCCTCCAGGTAAATGAAAGCTGAACTGAGCCCATAGGGGGCTGAGAGGAGACTGTATTTTTAAAATTGAAGTGTACTTGGAAAGCAATATGGGTGCAAATGAATCAGCTAGAAATCAAGGTAGCTTTGCAGACCTCAAAAATACCTCCCATTCCTCTAGCTTTCCCCAGCCCTGGTCAGGACCCCTTGGTACATGGGAGAGAAGTCTAGACCTGTGGAAGAGTCTCTTGCCAGGAGATTCTGGGTCAAAGCTTGGGCTATTAGATGCTGCAGTTGGTGCAGTAAACATGAACTTCCCTAAGACCAGCCGGAGCCACCCAGAGCCCTACCCATAGGAGAACAATTTCTCAAACGTGTTCATAGCTAGAGCACCACCTTGTGGGTTCTCACAGCTCCTGCCTTCTTTTTTTGTTTATTCACAGCCTTCGCTCACTGCCAAGGAGGGTATGTCTACACTACCCCGCTAGTGCGAACTAGCGGGGTAATGTATGCATACCGAACGTGCAAATGAAGCCCGGGATTTGAATTTCCCGGGCTTTATTTGCATAAGCCGGCCGGCGCCATTTTTAAATGCCGGCTTGTTCGAACCCCGTGCCGCGCGGCTACACGCGGCACGGGCTAGATAGTTCGGACTAGCGGGGTAGTGTAGACATACCCGGAGATATTTGTTCTGGGGCATATGACCCATTCCCAACCTCCCCCCCAACCACGAAAGACATGGTGGGGATGGATTGTCATGGACACAAAGGCCCCTTTACACAGCTCTGGCAGAATGGAACTACATGCACCGCATACACACCCACTCGCAGGTCCCTTTACACAACCAGAACGGTGGAAGGGGCCTTAGCACAAATCCTGAAGAAAGCTGGACACAGAGGACCACTGCCATCTGTTATGTGCCACCTGCCATCTGGGGAGAATTCACATGTGACAATCTGAGAACTTTGTAGTAAATGGATCATGTGATAATTTATTACACTAAAGTCTTTGTAGTGGTTGGTGGACCACAGGGATGTCCTTAGGATTTAGGGGGCCTACACAGTACTATTGAACTACTACCCCTCTGTGCCTGCCAGCAGCGGTGAGGGGATGACGGGTTTTTTGAGATGTGATTTTATAATCTTCAGCAACACACTCATTTTTTTTTAAAACTAAGGTCCCGTGGACTAACTCAATTCAGAAACTGACAGTCTAGATCTGGGACTGGCAGATGCCTGTGAAACGGCTTCATTACCATTTGAAAGGCTCTTTCACTGCTTCGATGTTCTCCTAATAGCTCTGGCAGGCTTTGTCACTTTTAAGGTAATGAGATCTTCTCCGGAGGAAGCAAAGCCACAGACCAAACATAGGAAGAGGCGGATGGGCGGACATTAAGTCTCTGAGGTGCCCCAGATTTTCAGATGTCCCTACGCATCTGCGTATTCTATGTTATGGGCAAGGATGGCCCTAGTGGACCAAAGCTTTGTTTGTACAATCACCCCAAAGCAATGGATGATTCTCAGAACCTCTCAGCTTGCACTCTGCTGACCTGGGCTCCCCCTCCAGGTTCACTCGGATTACACGAGTCTTCTTCCTGTCCTCGAGACAAACGTTTGTTGGGGTATGTCTACACTACAGAGTTTTGTCGGAAAAACGGCTGTTTTCTCAACAAAACTTGAGGAACAGCCACACTGCAATTGCGTTCTTCTGCAAGAAAATCGAAAGAACAGAGGGGTTTTTCCAGCATTGATAATCACCCCAAAGAACCCTTTGTGCATGAACTGGAAAGAGGGAGTTGTTTCGGAAGGAGAGGAAAAAGCACAGGTGCCCTGGTGGCCATTCCATCCAGAGCAATCACAGCTTACATGCGAGAGAGCGTCCATTCAGTGTGGACACTATCTTTCGAAAAAGCAGATGGCTTTTTTGATGCACTTTTGCGGTGTAGACACTCTCTTTTGAAAGAAGTTGTTTTGGAACATCTCTTCTGAAAAAAGCTTCTTCCAAAAGAAGGCCTCAGTCTAGACGTAGCCTAATAGAATTGCCAGGAACAGTTGTGTTCCACCTGGCTTCACTTCATTGGTGGGCAAAGTGATGAATGGTTTTCCAAAGTGCTGGCAACCCACAATTCCAGGTGGGAGATGGGGGTCAGATGGCATCTGAAAGGCCAGACACTCGTTCCTATTTCTTATGCCCCTGTGGCGGGGGCCCCTGCCCCTGCCCCTTCAACCTCCAAGGCCTGGTCCTTTAACTTCAGGTCCAGCAGCCTGGTCCTTTAACTGCAGGCCCAGCAGCCTGGTCCTTTATAGGATCCCCTCTTCATCCGGGATCCAGGGAGGAAGGGGTAGGAGGGCCCGGACCCTCCCTCTGCACCGGGCCCCAACCCAGGGCCCTATCAGTGGCAGGCGGTTCCCACCACTGGCTCAGCGGGGAGTTCTCCCCGAAACTCACCGAGCCTGCTGGGTCCTTTCCTCGTCCCTGCCCTGGGTTGCTTCCTACCCCCTCGCCCTGGCCGACAGCAGTCCCACCTGTGGATGCAGGTCGGGCTACAGCAGCCCCGTTGACAGGCGCCGCTTGGGAGACAGCAGTGGCTGGGGCAGCTCCAGCTTCTAGGGGGGCTGCACAGCGCAGCCAGCGTTGCGGTCTGGCTCGTCCCGGAGACAACAGCGGCAGGGGTAACTGGCCCGGCGCCTCTTGTTCCAGCTGCAACGGCTGTGGCTCCTGTGTCTGGAGAGAAGCTCCTTCCCCTCCAGCAGCCCGCCCCAACTGAGCAGCCCTGCAGCCTTTTATACCCGGGCTGCACTGCGAGCATGCCCAGCAGGGATGCGGGGGAGGGGAGTATTCTACCCAATAGGTGAGCTCTCCGCCCCCTTGTTCAGTGCGGGACTGGCCAGCCCCGTCACAGCCCCATACAGAAGCGGCGCATGCTCACGCTCCACCATTATACAGGAACATGGGCCCAGCTCCATCACTGTTGGGGTTTATATTTTCAGAGCCATCTTGATGGACCAGAGCAACTGCCCCAAACACCATGTTTTGGGGGGCCCCTACACTACAGGAGGAAACAGTGTGCAGCAGTGTTTCCCAATTGGTGCTCCATGGAACCCTGGGGTTCCGCGAAGTGAAAGTAAGGGTTCCGCGAGAACGCGGCATTGCCCCGCCCCCCTCTTAAAGAGACAGTGTATTTTGCAGGGTATTTTGCTCAACCAATTCTGGCGGAGCTATTTTTTTATTTTTATTTATTTTATTTTTTTTGCTTGCCAAATTTTACCCTGGGAACCCTAGGGGTTCCTTGAAATTATTTTAAGGTGAAAAGGGTTCTGTGACCAAATAAAATTGGGAAACACTGGTGTACAGAGTGGCCTGGGGATTTAGCGGGGGGCCTGACACCAGCAGCAGCAAGTGACCCAGCCCCAACCCACCCTGCTTCATCCCATTCCTACTCCACGCCTTCCCTGAAGCCCCATCCTGCCTCCTTCTGGTTTCTGCTCCTTCCTCTGAGTGACATGGAGAACTAGTGGGGTGGAGTCCAGCAGAGCAGAGCAGTCTACGAGCAGATTGCTCCCTGCTTCCGCCAACAGGCCTCCCGTTAGCTCTTCAGCCACCCTGGAACCTGTGTCCCCCCAAAGCACAGGGCCCAGGGAAGCTGCCCCAGTCTGGCCTATGGATAGGACAGATCTACTTAGACCAGTGTTTCTTAAAATTTTGAGGCCATGGAACACCAAACAATATTTTTTTATGCTGAACACTTCTGAAAATTTTCTTCAAAAAAAAATTGTTGTCAAACAGAAAAAGACAAAAACAAAGAAGTAACAAAATCAAAGAGGTCGCGGAACACCTGTGCATTGTTCACGGAACACCAGTGTTCCGCGGAACATAGTTTAAGAAACACTGACTTAGACCCATTCTGGATACCACCAAAAATTATACCAACCAGATGCCCGTGGCCCCATAGAAACAAGAGTTAACGCATCAGGAGAGCGCTTCCTGGAGCCAAGCACGCCTGATGACCCTGTCGGGAAGATCAAAGGCTGTGCCGGTGCCTATCATGTAACACAAGGAGCCTCAGAGAGAGGCAACATGTTGGTGCTTGTTGGAGGTCTGCCATTCAAGTATCACGGCATATACCTGTACTTTATTTAGCTGTGCCGGGCAGACCGGGACCTCCAATGACTGTCTCCCACCAATTCACAACAGCCACTTTCACTTTCCCAAGCTCTGAGCAGCTGACCCCCCAGTTGTCTGGAGGATCGGGTCTGAGGTTGTCTTTGCCTGGTGTATCTTGCTAAAGACTGAAGGAGGCGAGGGAGTAGTGCTGTGGGACACAGCTGACCCTTTGTCTCTTGTCTAGTGGAATGTTGGCAGCACAGCTGAAAGAAGTTACATGTGGGCAGGGAAACAGACATTATCCTATTAACCATTAGCAACCAGGTCCTCCTCCGGAATCCATTTAGTCACTCAGTAAACAGCCCTGAGCGCATTACTAGAGGCAGAAAGCCAGGGCGGTGCACTTACAGAACCTACATGCGTCACTGGACACTGATGGGACACACTCAAGGGCAGAGAGACGGACACATTTCACTTGCACTAGTTTTTATCTCGGCCTGGCCTGGACGTCTGTTGTATTTTCCCCTAACAACTTTGCTCCATGAACAGATTTTTCTTTTTGACTTAGTGCCAGTGGGCCAGCACCAAGGAACATCCGTGTGATAACCAGAGCTTGCAAAGGCTGCACTCCTGAGGCAATCCTGCAGCAACAAACCAGCATGTGAAATCTTGCACAGAGCAATAACCCTACGAGAACAAGCCGTGCATACAGCCGCACCTTCCAGAGCCACCCTACGCATATCGCTGGGGCAGGAAAATGAGTGGTAAGGAAAATATCTGTCCTTTCAGTCTTCCAAAAGGTGGGTTATTAGGAACAAAACCCAGCTTTCTTTGTGTATTTTTAATCATGGGAAACATCACAACGAAGTCTGTGGAGTTTGGAGGATGTGGGTGTTGTGAAACTCCAGAAATTCTCCACATGCGTCTCTTTACTCTCTATATGGAGAAGCCACACCTCTAAAGCAGAGAGCTGAGCCCCACAGGGGAACAAGGGACTCATTACTTGATCATCCTTCTCATTTTGTCTCCTGGCAGGTTTTTTGCAGGGTAAAAGTACCACCGAGGCCTATAAAAGTCACCAGACACCATGAACGGTGGGTGACAGTACGGCTCCAGCCCTGTCCCCGCCCCACCCCTTCTGCCCAGGCTCCGCCCCCAAAGGAGCCAGCCCTTTTCCCAACAGCACCATGTTGGCAGAGCACGGCCCCAGCCTCCCCAGTCCCAGAGCACAGGGAGGGCAGACAGCACGCGGCCTCAGCCTCCCCAGCCCCGGAGCATGGGGAGGGCAGGCACTCAGGGGCAGCAACACTCCGCCCCAATATGCCTACAGTAGGCGTTCTGTGGACAGCATGTGGGTGGGGCTAGGCCTTCCCCTGCGTATTATACCCATTGCCCCTGCCAGACAGCAATCAATTTCAGTTACTGTTAGATTGAAACCTGTGAGTGTAGCCTAGTTTTAATTAGGGATGTTAAGGACTAGTCGACTATCTGATAAGCAAATGCTCATCGGACAGTCGACAGGATAGTCGACTGGTCACTTTCCTCCACCTTGCTGCCTCTATCGGCTAGAGGCGGTGCGGGGGGGAGAATAGAGAGAATAGAGGGGTACTTCAAAGGGGCAGTGCTGCATGAATCCCAGAACTCCCCAGCTGACCTTTGGCTCTGTGCACCTCTGCCCCTTTGAAACACAGATACGGCGTTTCAAAGCGGCAGCACTGCGTGGAGCCTGGGCTCAGCTGGGGACCCCGAGCTCCAAGTGGCACTGCCGCTTTAAAATGCCGCGAGGAGCCCAACACTGGGTCAGCTGGGGACTCCATGCGTAGTTGCCCCTTTGGAACGCATTAGCGGCATTTCAAAGGGACAGCACCGCCCTATCGACTAATCAAATAGTCAAAAATACATTGACTATTCAATTAGTCAATTACATGCTACTTAACATTCTTAGTTTTAATCCCTAATTCTCGCAGTCTGCAGCTAATGGTGATGGTTATGGTTTGGGCAGGTAGTTAATGGAACTAGTATTCTGTGGATTATTCATATATATATATATTTATTTATAAGGAATGAGAGCAGAGGCCGAGTTCCTGAGGAGGTGGCTGGAGCTGAGTGAGGAGATGTCCCTGGGAGGCGATTCAGTGGAGAACAGCTCTGAATTGGTCAGTGGGCTCATGGAGAATAACTCACCATCTGCCCCTGTGCGCCAGGGCTGGGGAGAGCTTCACCTGGCAGCTTGGAATGGCAACACCCACCTGATGAAACAGCTCCTGCAGCAGGGGGCAACGATGGAAAGCAGGTGAGCCCCGGGCGCTGTCTAATTCTTGCTCTCTCTGTCCATCTCTCGCTGACATAAATTTGCTCAGGTTTCTTTTCTGCACCCGCGCAGGGACGAGAACGGATGGACCCCCTTACACTGTGCCACAATGACAGGGTCCATCACGTTGGTCAAGTTCCTGGTGCAACGTGGCGCCGTGGTCCATGCCACAGACAGATCGCACTACACCCCGCTGCACCACGCCTCTTGGAATGGCCATACCCAAGTGGCTGAGTTTCTCCTGGCTCGGGGAGCCCCAGCCTCAGCTGTGACTCAAGGGGGCCTGACCCCACTCCACTGTGCAGCAGCCAACGGTCACACCCTCATTGTGCAGTTGCTACTACAGCGAGGCACAGATCCTGCCAGCGGGGACAACAACCAGTGGACAGCACTGCACTGGGCGACTGTGAACAGCCAGCTGCATATCATGGACTTGCTGATTAGCCAGGGTCTCTCCCCAGACCCGGGCAGTCATGGAGGTATCACAGCGCTGCACATCACGGCAGAGACTAAAAGAAGCGAAGCTCTAAGGTTCCTGCTAGCCAAGGGTGCCAACATCAATGCTCCAGATGAGCTGGGGAGAACTGCACTTGCCGTTGCATCCGAAAATGGCAATCAGGAGGTAGGTTCCCAACAACCGTTCTTCTTAACACACTGAATTCTGCAATAGGTTCATGGCAATGCTTCATTATCAGGTGATTAGGGTCAGCGAGGTGAGAGAGACTGCCACTCAGGTCTATCGGTCATAATATAAACAGGGACATTTCGCTCTGACATAGCACTTTTCATCCATGGAGCTCAAAATGCTGTGTAAAGAGGGCTGCCTCGTTATCCCCATTTTATAGATGGGGAAACTTGAGGCACAGAGATGGGAAAGTGACCTGCCCAAGGACTCTCCACAGGTCAGTGGCAGAGCTGGGAACAGCAGCCAGATCTTCTGAGTCCCAATTCAATGCTACCTTGGATGATCAAAGATGCCAACTTAGCCCCAGCTGTTGGGCCCTGACTGTTATGTCTGGGTTACCAATACAGACAGCTTCCTCCTTCGATTGTCCTCTGGGGTTCCAAAGCCCCTTGCAAGGTGCAAAGACATGCCTGAACAGATGCAGCTACCTCCATTGACTGGTTGCTCAGATAGAACTACATGACCTCTGACATATAAGCACAGGGGACGTGGCTTCTCTACGGGCAAAGTTTAGCCTCCCTAAAGAGGCCTCATCCATGTTTAGAGAAAAGATACATGAGAAAGGCTACATCAGGCAGGAGCCTCCCCCCCTACCTCCCCAGCACTACTCTCCTGGGTTCTTTGCCAGGAACCAGCTCCTATATCTTCCCTGGTCAGAACCTAACTGACTCTTTCTGCAGGGCAGCTCCTTATATACAGGACTTCCCCAGCAAGCCACCCTCTGGTTGGCTCTTTAAAAGCTTCTCCCTGATTAGCTACTAAAATGCCTCCCCCTTATTGGCCAGGGCTCTGTTCTTTCTCACTCCTGCCTGCTTTAACCCCTTCTGGCCGGTGTGGGGCAGTCACCCCACTACAGTGCCACGCCACTGAACTTTCTTTTTCCTTTCCCAGATTGCAGAACTGTTGCTGAACAGCAAAGCTGATGTGAACCTGAGGGACCATGCCGGCTGCACAGCACTTCACAAGGCAGCAGCTGCCGGACACTTGGCCGTGGTCCACCGGCTGGTTAAGAAAGGAGCAGTTGTCAATGCTAGGGACTGTCTGCATCTGACTCCGCTTCACAGAGCTGCCTGTTGTGGGCACACTGAGGTCGCCAATTACCTTCTGGACCATAGAGCTGAGATCAATGCAGCCGGCTGGCTAAACAAAACGCCGCTGCACCTGGCTGTGGAAAAAAATCATTTCCTTTTAAGGGAGCTCTTGCTGGGGAAGGGAGCAAGTCTGTCCCTCAGAACTCGCTGGGACGAGACGGTGCAGGATCTAGCCTCAGACAGGAGTGAGAGGGACGAGCGAGACACCCGCCAGAAGGAGGTCCCCTGCTGACAACTAATTCCCAGTGCTACCAGCAGGAGACGCTGCAGCGGTGAGTCCCACCCTGTGACAGGCACCATGCCAAACAAATGGACATGTGTTCTACCTTCTTGCAACATATTGGCCTATTGGACCCAATCCTACAAAATAATGAACAGCTCCTGCGAGCTGCTATTCTGGGGGCCCTGTGTCCCCTCCCCAGGAAACAATGGCAAACTGCAACCCGGATCTGAGCTAGATCCCAACTCCACTACGGTCCAGAGACATGAGAACAATTTTGTCCTTCCTCTGCTGCCATCTTGTGAAGGATTAGACCAATAATGGGCAACCTAGGCTAGTGAGTGGCCCGCATGAATGGTCTCCTTCATCTCAACACTGTCATAAACACTACAACACTGTCATAAACAAGACGGTCTCCCGGAATAGGGGAGTTCTGCTCTCTCAGCTTGTGTACCTACAATGTGAGGGATGTGCCGATGGAACCATAGCAGCGTTTTCATTGGATGCAGAGGGAGCACGTGACTCTCACAGTCAATGTTGTGCACAATCAGCACCCACCTCACTTCATGTGCCCTGGCTTTACAGGCATGTCACTTTAGTAACACCGGTAGGAAAAAATCTACAGAGACAGAAAGCAGCAGAACCTGGCAACCCTGCACGTGGGCAACACTAAACAAAATGTCTGGCGGGCCCCACATAGAACTCCGATGGGCCACCCACAGCCCACAGGCTGCCCACCACTGGATTAGACTTTCTCCTCATTCCAGTATTAACAGAAAAAGGGCCTGATCCGCATTTGCATTGTTCTTGTAGTGTAATGGAACCTTAAAAGAGAATAAATATACTTTATACCCATTGTAAGGCCCCTTCATACTGCTGGCGTGGTGTTGCGTGGCCTTGGTATAAATGAGAAGAAGGCTCTTTTTAAAAGGTACTCTTTACCGATGTGCTGCTATAATACGTATTTACTAGGGATGTGATTAAACCATCTCTGGGGATTCATTAGGCACCAGGTTAGGCAGCCAATAGATCAGGGGTGGGCAATAAGTGGCTCATGGGCCAGACGTGGTTTGCCAGGGTTAGTCTCTGGTGGGCCGCATGGATATAGCCACTCGCAGCTCCTATTGACCATGGATCACCATTCCCAGCCAATGGGAGTTACAGGAAGCGATGTCCTGGTCCACGCCACTTCCTGCAGTTTCCACTGGCTGGGAAAGGTGATCCACAGCTAATGGGAGCTGTGAGCAGCCAGACCTACAGAGGGACAGGTAAATAACACATCTGGCGGCCCAACAGAGGCTAACCATGGTGAACCGTGTCCAATTAGCGGGCCACTTATTGCCCAACCCTGCGATAGTGAATAATATGGATCACAAAGCCATAGGGAGGTGGAGTGGGGTGGTTCACAAGGCAGAAGATGGGGCTTGGAGTAAGGAAGCAGCAAAAGAGGGAGGTTGGCAGAAGATAGGCCAGGCACGGAGAAGAAGCGAGACCACACTTAAAATGGCTGCCATCACATGGTGGTAGCCATTTGAAGTGCCTGAAATTCACTTTTGTGTTAGCTTTGGCTGCATAAGGGCAAAATAGCCAGTTCTCTACTATTCACAATTGGCCTATCTCTAAAATACACCTTTGTATATTAGAATAATCCTACGCGGATGTCTTATTGTATTCAGTCACAGGACACTTCATCAATGTGTATGCACAAGAGAAACACAGAATCAACCAATAAATCTGTTCTTGTAGCAAGAAGAACTGACTCAGCAAAGCTGTCGGCTAGGCAATAGCTACATCTGCCGTAGGCAGAGTTCCAAATGGATGCAGGCTATAATTTATTTCCGAGTGGGAAAATAGCTCCAAACTGCAGAATGCTCCCAAGTTGTCACTTCCGTGTCTGGAGTCAAAATCAAATGTGTACATTTTAAAGGAGGATCCAAGACATGAAATACAAACATGTCAACAGAAGTTAAATGAAAATAAGATTTAGGTCTTGGTTAGAGCTGGCTAGATAATATTTGTAAGTAATGGCACAATTTACTAGTCCACATCTTGCATTACTCAACTTTACAGCAGGCTGAATGCAATATTTGATTAATAATACATGATCCGGCCAATATTGTCCTTGATGAATCATATTAGCTAGTATTTGGCTCTCTTCTCAGTCTATAACACTCCCCCCACCCATGGACATTAAATCATGTTACAATAGTAATTTACACGTCTATGGCCCCTTCTAACCAATGATCTCAAAGCACTTTGTTATTTACTGTTATTCATTTAGATAGCTCTTTCCAAGCACAGACTAAGATGTAGTCCCTGGCCATACGACTGGATACAGTCTTAGGCTCTGTTCCTTTAGCTCAGGGGTGGACAATTTTTGTAAGGGGGATCACTTCACCAGTGTTGATAGGGGTTGCAGTCCAGTCCCAGAAGGGGCAGAGTCTCCACTGGAAGGGGCAGTTCCCTCTAGGCACTGTGTGCAGGAGGTAGGAGACTGCACACTCCCTCATGGGGTGGGGGAGCATGGGAGGTCTCTCCCCAACCCCCACCCGTTTTGAACAGCTGGTGGTTCCCTCTGGTGCTGCACGCCCCTGGCAGGGGAGGAGACTTCGCATGCTCCCTGCTCCCAGATCCCAATTGGCCGGGGATGAGGGGGCAGCAGGGCAGGCAGCAGGCTGGATTAAACAATTTGGCAGACTGGATCCGGCCTGCAGGCTGTATCTTGCCCACCCCTGCTTTAGCTGGATTCACACAGACAGATCCTTGCACCCGTGTAGGACCCCTGGGAAGTTAATGGGGTACTCCACTGGTGTGGAGTCCTCTGCATAAAGCAGTGTGTAAGTGCCTAGAATAGACATGACAAAGCATGGACCAACAGTTCAGATGAGGAGAGATGGGAACACCTTTCGAAGGTGTAAACTAGCAAGGTGCAACAATCATAGCAAAACTCTGTCCAGTCACCTAAATCCTTCCCACAGGCTTTTCTAGTATAACAATCTTGGGCCTTGTCTATACTTACGCGGAGATCGATGCTCCAGCAATCGATCATCCAGAGTTTGATTTAGCAGATCTAGTAAGGACCCACTCAATTGAATGCAGATAGCACCCTCATTGACCCTAGTACTTCATGGGGTCATGAGGAGTAAAGGAAGTCAACAGGAGAGTTTCTCCCATTGACCTCCCATAATGGGACCACCCCAAAAATTCAGTTCAAAGTACATCAGCTGCAGCTATGCAGTTCTCATGTAGGCCAACTACATTGAGCTCTGTCGGTGACTGGGGGATGCTACAAGCTAGCTTCTCAACACAAAGTAAAGATTCCAGCCTTCTTTCTGTTCAACGTGACTGATTTACAGAACCCAGTACTGCTTCCTTTTCCTCCCCTATGCAGAGAGAGAGGGGCAGTAAGCTACAGATAACACCTGCTAGCCAATGATCAGATCGAAAGGCTGCATGGTCATGAAAGGTTTCAACTTGGAAAAATTTGCTCCTCCCAGACTGATTTTTCATTAATTTGCTTGCACCTAGTCACTACTGTGACACTGCCTCACTGCACCCAGAATCATGAGCCACTGTGTTACGCCTCTGCCTCAGCAAGGGAGAGTTTTACTGGTGCTCCTACTGACCAGGAAAGCTCTGCACTCTGCCTAGCTCTTACTGTTTAGGAGTTCTTGAACAAACGGACTCACAGACAGATGGATGGACGTGTGCACACGCACAAACACAAAAGATGTACAAACTCTCTAAAATACATAGTGGATATCTATATATTACCCCAAAAATACTAAGATAATAGAATAATATTAAGGTTGCACAGTCAAAATTTAGGAAATCCCAGAATTAAGATGGCTGGTGCAACATTAAATCAGACTCCTTGGGCACATGCATTAAGCTAGTCTTCACTTACATGACCACGACCACTTACTGATTTTTCCACAAGACCCGTGTCTCCTTCCATGCACAGGGTGGAGGGTGCTCACTGAAAGAACAGCTAGTTAATGTTCTGTTTTCTCTACATTGTGCAATGGTTGGCTGAAGGCCTCTACTACACACAATTCAAACTCTGCTCTGAAGACAGAATTGTTGATCTCCTCATGGGCTTTTCTACAGCATGGTTGTGGTAGCTGGGTGTACAAATGTACCCTAATTTTGGGAGCACACATTTACCCTAATTTTAACTGTGAAAAGAGAATGAAAGTTCAGAAAGGGTCACAATAGCCTATAAAAACAAATGTTGATGGGAAAAGTGCAAAAGATAACTGTATACCAGACCCTGAATCTTGTTTAAGACCTTTTAATGTTGGACTGTGATAGGGTCATGTTCACACCTTTAACTTTTTTGATCCATTTATTCCTTCTAAATTAATATGATTAATACAACAGCACTCATCACCATTAACATTTGAGGGTTACAAACATTAATTAATTTCCACAGCACCTGTCTGAGATGAGGGCTTATTCCCAGGAACTAAGGCACAAAGAAATGGAAGTCAAAAGTATCTACTAATTTGGGGTGTTCTATTTGTGACATCTGGGACCTGATAGTCCAACATATTTAGCATAAGGCAGCACTTTATATGTTCAAAGCACAGCTCCCATTGATTTCAGCTTGCAGCTGAGAGAGTGGATTTCTGGGGAACAGTAAATGGCACATTATTGGCTCAAAGGCCTTGCCTAATTTTCTGTTCTTGCTCCAAAGCAGGAGGACCCTAGAGCTTCCTAAAGAAAAGGTTGTGGGAAAGTTTTTAACTCCTTCTCAGAAATGCCTGAACTCTTTTGGCTAAAACTTTTTTTTAAAATCATCTTAAGGAGACAGCTGGCAGGGAAGAAGCTTGGGTTCTGTCAGCTAAAGTTTGAGGAAGTTATGAACACTGAAAATCCCCTAAGCAGATGTGCTGTGGGTCAGTAACAGGCAGCACCTCCTGCCTGGCCTATTGCTAATGTTAAAGAGCCCACAGGACAAGGCAAATAACTGGCTTTTCTCAGGATGGAATCTGCTGTGTCCAGAGTTGAGATTTCCCCCGTTATGGTTCTTCCCCCACAAAACATGGCAGCTCTGAACTCCTGCCCTGAGTGCAAGGGGGCTGGAAGCCACCGTGGACCCTGGGGCTAGGTGGGGGGGGGCAGTCCCGCTCCCTGCCCCTGGAGGGAGAAGGCTGAGGACTGAAGGGGCAGGGCATGGAGCAGTCAGCCCTTAGCTCCTCCGGGACCCTCCAGTGCTCATGCAGCGGCCCGGGGTTGCCAGGGCTGCCCAAGTAGCAACAGCAGCGCAGGAAGCCAGGAGCTCTGGGCCCCTTTCCAACGCCAGTCCCCCATGCAAATGCCCCCTTGGCGTGGGCCTTCCCTGAGTGTGTGCAATTTGTAATAGGCAGGAGGAGGGGCAGCTGAGCACTGTTCCCTGTAAGCTGAGTGCTGGCCGTCCACCCAGGAGAGTCAAACCCGCCCCCCATTAGCAGTGCGGCCCCCAGGCAGCAGCACGTGTTTCTATGGGTGGTGCGCACCCACTCCTGCCTCGGTGCACAGCACAACATGTATTCCGCACAGAGACGGGAAAGGTCATTGGGACCCCGGGTGCCCCACCCCACTTCTAATGGAGACCCCTTCCAGCCAGGGCGTGCAGGAGCACCCCTAGCATCGCCCGCCCCACCCCCCGCCAA